AACCGGTGCCCGCAGAAGGGGTGTCGCCTCCCGAGGCGGGGCTGCTGTCAGCCGTCCGTTGCCGCGCACTTCTGGCCGCCTGGGTGTGAGCTGTCCGCGGAGACGCGCGCCCGTGAGATGCAAGGAACCGAGCGGGCCAGCAGGGAGGTTCACCTTGGACTCCAGTTCTGTTTCCCCAAAGTTTGAGAGGATGAAATCAGGTATTGAGGAGCGGGAGGGAAAATCTGTGGCTCTACAATAAAAAGAGTTCTGCTGAAAATTAACTTGGAAGGATGATAGCGGATCTATTTTTAAGCTAACATGTTAAAATAGGATATTTTTGAAACAAGTGCAAAATGTTGATAGGTCAGAATTTGACACTAGGTGAAAAGGATAAAAGTTCAGAAAATCAAAAGGCAGAAAGCACCAAAGGACCGAAATGGATTCAGACTTAAAATATTTTGGCCATTTGAAGACTGTATATTACATTCTGATGTGTCTGAAGGTTTTAGAAAAGTTTACTTTTTCCTTTAAGTTGGTATATATAACATCCCATAAATTCGTAGAGCACATTGATTTGGAACTTGCATTTGATTTGCCCGAGACTCTTGGAGCTGTATGTTTGGCTTTTGTGCACGAGTGGAGGAATTCTCTGCCACATAGAAGCATGGATTATCTTTACGACTTCAGAAACGTATTAGTTGTACCTTTTTTGTTTATTTTCTGACCAATTCAGGGAATGTATTGAAAGGTTCCAGATATAGTTTCCCCACAGTGCTTTTACAGGAAAATGTAATATTCCAATCAACTGTTATTAAATAGTTAAGTCTTGATGTTGTAAGAAATCATAATTGAGTACAGTACTAGCATATTTGTAATCTATGTGTGTACTTAGTAGTTTAAAAATACTAAATTCTGAAAATGTGCTCCTTGGAAAATAATATAAACAGTCAGAATGTTAATTTTTTGTCTAAAGGCAAGAGTATTTGAACACAAGTAATTTATTGGAAATTCTGCATTGTCAACATGTTGCAAGATTGCAGGGCCCTTTGAATCTAATTTTACGGTTGTGTTGAAAAGCCTGTCCTGCAATATGATTGGATGCATTTTATCATACACTGTTATTTTTGTAGATACTGACAGTATCACAGTAGGAATACTCCATTTTCCAATGCGGATAATATTTTAAAATTTTACATGGTTTTAAATGTTCTGGAAAGGACTAAAAAGCTTAAGGCTACAGAGTTCATTAGCATCAGTTACACTTAATTATGTAAGTTATGAGAGAGAGAGAGAGAGAGAGAGAGAAGTTGGTAATTTAAATTGTTCAGAAGAAACACAGGTATGTAGAGAACAGTGTGGTGCTCCAGTGTTTATTTCCTATTTATAAGGTACAGAAGAACTGTTAGTGACTGTTGTTATGGCTTTTGAGTTTTAGCTGTTACTTAGAGATGCTGTTTTAATTTTTAGCGCAGTCTTGGTGCCCACTTATGTGTCAGCACACAGTTATGAAGATAACTAGAATCAACACTTAGCAAATGATCCTCTTCATTAATCAGACGGTAAAAAGGATATTCTGTGTTGAGAACACATTATCAACATTGACATTTTCCCACCAGATAAATAAAAAACATGCATGGTTTTCTTTTGTTGTTGCTTTTTGAATAGATTTTTAAATACAACTAATGTGCCGTGTGTGTGTGTGTGTGTGTGTGTGTGTGTGTGTACCAAGTGCACTTTCTAATGAAACAAACTTACTGTTCAGGAGGCTTTTTCTTACTACCAAAGTCTCTGTGTCCTTGGAAAGGGTGCTTGTATGAACTGATGAGATGTTTTGGTTTTGGTATGGAAATATTATAGATGAAAACCATTTTTTCTTTCACATGGTTAGTGAAATCTGCTGAAACTTGGTATGTGTGCCCTTATCTTTCTTACTTATTTATCACGTATGTGGCTTCATTGGTGACAAGATAAAACTTGAGAATAAATCTGTAATAGATAAGGCAGACTGTGGGGTGTTTTATTATAGCTGAATAGTAGATTATGAGTTTTTTTTAAAGCTACAAACTGTTTCTTTCCCAGTTTTAGAGAAGTTTGTGCTGTACCCCAACATTCCGTGTGCAGACTGATTATTTAGGTTACTGTAGTTACACAGAGATGTGAGAGCTGGCCCCTGGGGAGGTACTGTAATGAGAGATATCATTTAGAAAAAAGTTGCTTGGCAAATGTTGTTAAATGTGCACATAAGGTATTTTTTAAAAGATTACTTTGATGAATAGCAAATAAGATATAGTGAGATGAATATAGTCTTTCTATCAATAATAGATCTTTATTAGCTTGCATTTTTTCCCTCTGTATAAGTAGCAATTGTGTGCTTTTACATTTGTTTTTAGTATTTTTCCACACCTGTATCTGTTAACCATATTCCCTCTCTCTCTCTCTCTCTCTCTGTCTCTCTCCCTCCCTCTCTCTCTTTTTCCCCTGGTACTGCGGATTGAACCAGGGTTGCTCTAGCACTCCAATCCTGTATTTCTATCTCTCTCTCTCTCTCTCTCTCTTTTTTTTTGGAGACAATATAGCCTCGAACTTATGATCCTCCTGCTTCAGCCTTCAGAGTAGCTCAGATTATAGATGAACACTACTGTGCCTGGCTAATCATATAATTTTAAACTTTAATCTTATAGCTTCCTACTTATTGTGATTGTTCATTTGAGGTAGAATGAGAAGCTTTGTTTTGAGAGCTTGCCAGATAGCTTAAATGGCATTTGACAAAACAAAAAGCAGAAAGATAAAAAGCTGCTATTAAGTTGAATATCTAGAATACTTAAAAGTAAGATTTGTCATGGAGTCCTTACCCACTAGGAATCTTGGGCCTTTAACAGCGGTTGGCCTATTTTTCTTAGCCTGTTGTTGAGGACTGTATGAGAAAGAAGCAATTCTGTTCCCTCTGGAATAGCTTGAGGTATGTGGCCCGGCTAGCTAGCTTGACAGCCCCAGAATGGCTCTAACCCTTGGACAACAGGCCTGGGCTCCCAGGGAAGATGTTCAGGAAGTATAGGTAGAAGCTGTAAGACTTTGTATTAATTTCCTTTTGCTGCTGTAACAGATTACCACAGATTTAATAACTTAAGACAATGCAAACTTATTCTCTTAAAGTTCTAGTGGCCCAGAGTCTAAAATAAGTCTTAAGGGGCCAAAATCTAAGTGTCAGCAAGACTCTGTCCTCTGAGCCTCCAGGGAGAATCTGTTGCTTACCTCCTTCCAGCATTTGGCATTCTTGTTCTTGGCCACAGCACTGGAGTCTGCTTCAGCTGTTGCATTATCTCCTTTCTCATTGACCTTTTTGCCTCTCTCTTAGAAGGACTCTTGTGATTACATTTAGGGCCCATCCAGATAATTTAAGGCAGTCTCTCTCAGAATCTTTAATCACAACTGTGAAGTCCCTTTTGCCCTCTAAAGTCACATCTTCACAGGTTGGGGAATTAAGTTGTGGACACCATTGGGATCCATTACCCAGCTTATTGTGTGATCTTGTCTTGGAGTCTCAGAATATCATTTTTGTTCCATGCTGTTGAACAAGTAAGTCACCAAGTCCAGACTAAATTCAAGGGGAGGGAAATTAGGAAATGGCATTTCATGTAGATGGGCATACCTAATAATTGGAATTTGCTCCTTCATATGAATACTTTAAAAACTTTCTGTTGGAAATTTGGTATATTAGTAGCCTTACTAATGCAGGTGATTAATATATTAGTTTTGTTTTGTTTTTGGCTTAGTTTCTATATTTTGAACACTCACTCTAGTATTGGGTTCTAGTGCAATGATTCCTTTTAAAAGATATATAGTGTTCCTTTCTCCATATCAGGATTTCTTACGATTAGCAGCATATTCACATTGGGCTGGGTAATTCTTTGTTGTGGGAGCTATGCCCACACAGGATGTTTAGCAGCACCCTTTTCCCACTAAATGCCAGTGGCCCTTCTCCCCTCTCTACCCTTGTTGTGCTAAGCAGAGATGTCTCCAGACACACTCAGGTGTTCCCTGGAGGAGATGGGAATGCAGAGCTTTGTGGAAGGAGCTTAGCAAAATCACCCTGTGTGACAGTAACTCCGTCCTGTGAAATGCAGTGAGCTGTTTCTTCAGTTCCTCTGCCTTGTCTCCCCTCTTCTCTTATCCACTGATAATTATTATCAGTGCATTGTCTTTGCTTTTAGCTTGTTGCTTTCATTTTATGTATATTTGTTTCTTGATAAGACAGAACGATAATTCCTTATCTATTAGACTTCTCACATCTTTATTAAATGAACTTTTTGATAACTGCTTTCCTTGATTGTGTTGTTGCTTTACTTCTCAACTAAATTCTAAACACTAGATAGAAACTTAGAAAATATGGCTTCCAGATAAGTCAAGCACTGCTTTAGTTGAATCCACCAATAAAATTAATTTGATGTTTTCTATCATAATCACTTACTGATTCTTTTTATGGCTCTTGTAACATGCAAGTTTTTATAAACAAATTTATGGGTAGGGAAGTTGAAATAATATAAAGTCTGTAGTTTATGGGGATATCTAAGAGGTTACTTGGAACCAAATGATGATGGATGATCTTGAATGTTAGAGGAGATGGTGTTAGTTAAAGACAGTGATAAGTTTGCATAGCCACGTTCTTGTCTGGTTTCCCATGGCATATCTCAGTATAGAGTAACTGCAACACAGGGACTAAATCCCCGAGTGCAGATTTTGTCAGCATTTTGCTCGTCAGCTGAATTAATTAGTATGTGGCTTTATTGTACTCCAACATTGTCTTGACTCACTGGCTTCTCTCTTGTTTTAAATTAATGAAAACAATCACATAAAAACAAGTAGTTACATGTTAAAAATTGCCTCAAATGATCTGACTAACAAGAGGTTTTGTAGACTAAAGATTTTCTAGGGCAGCTGGATGTCTTCATGCTTCAGTAATCCTGGGACTCAGGCTGAGGCAGGTGGGTCACAAGTTTTAGCTCAGCTCAGGCAATTTAGTGACTTTAAGAGACTTTGGCTTAAAATAAAAATAAAAAGTGACTGGGTATGTAACTAAGGTCCAAGGTCCTAGGTTCAATTCCCAGTTAACCTCCTCCTCCTCAAAAAAGATTACGAGGGAAAACTTTGAACCATCTGTTTTGATGGCTTTTGATGGTGCCATCTTTGAAGATCTTGCACTTTATCTCTACTTTAGTAC